CCACGGCTGCGCTCCGGCCGTTCACTCCGAGGGCTGCTCGGGCGGCCCGGTCGCCTCCGGCCGCAGGTGGAAATTTACAGGAATGCGAGCGCGGAAACGGCCTGCGTGTCCAGCGGGAGCTCGGGAGCCTGACCGTACCGGGGCCTCTCTGCTTTCTGAACTCGCACCGCTGACCCGTCCACAAAGGAGCTGGCGGGGAGCCCGGCCCACTGGCTGTCTGTGTTCTGACTTTCATGGAGGAGCACACAGTGCCTGCCTTGTTCTGTTCCTGCTGTGTTTCCAAGCCCAGTGAACCCGACAGGGCCTGCGTTCCGCCCCCCCCTTCTCTTTCATGTCCGGCGGCCGCGTCCTCCCAGTGCCCACCTCAGGCGGGTGGGGGTGCAGGACCCTTTAGAAAACTCCCGGCTGGTCAGCGCTGCTGTTCCAGAACATCCCTCCTTAAAAATACGTTTTTACTGATTTTTAAAGAGAGAAGAAGGGAGAGGGAGAAACAGAGAAATATCACTGAGAGAGAAACACCGATCGGCTGCCTCCTGCACGCCCCCCACCGGCGATCGAGCCCGCCACCCGGGCATGTGCCCTGACCGGGAATCGAACTGGTGACCTCCTGGTTCATGGGCCAGTGCTCAGCCACCGAGCCACGCCAGCCGGGCCAGAACGCCCACCTTGAGACACTGCAGTTGTGGGGAAGGAGACGCTGGGAGGAATGAGAGATCCAATCGGTTAACTGATGTCTGTGGGCACGTGAGTAGCTTGGTGGTTCGTTTGGGTTAACGTGGGCACAGATGTGGGCACAGGTCGTAGAACTCATCGATGCTGACCTCGTTAGAAAGGGTGAGCCGCAGGGTGACCTTGGGAAAAGCTAGGGGGCATCTATAAATGATGCAACAGCTTCCGATTGATCAATAACAGGACAGATCCCACCGATAGCAATGATCACATGGTCAGCCGTGGACGCACCACGCACAGGGAAGCGCGTGCCGCCCAGACGGAGGTCCGGCTTCGTTCCCGCGGGTCCGTGGTTCTCAGAGTCAGGCTGTGTCCTTGCTCCTGTGACCGGGCTGGAGACCTTCCCACGCGGCAGGAGGAATGAAATATTAGATCGATCAGATAAATACGTTGCACCCAAATCATCAGTCTGGAATTACGGCTGCCCTGGGGGGCGGGGTTGTAATCCAAGCAGGTTTCTAAATTCAGCCGAGGTAGCTGCGTTGGACACCTGGTGATGACCTTCAGGCGCCCTCAGGGGGTCGGCTGCAGGTCATGCTCACACCGACATTTTTTTTTGTTTGTTTTTGTTTTTTAAATTTATTGAGTTCAGAGATTAAGGGAGAAGTAGAGACAGAAACATCCATGATGAGAGAGAGTCACGGATCGGCTGCCTCCGGCTCGCCCCACACTGGGACGTAGCCCACAACCTGGGCAGGTGCCCTGACCAGGAATCGAACCGTGACCTCCTGGTTCCTAGGTCCACGCTCAGCCACGGAGCCACGCCGGCCAGGCGTGCACATGACGGTTTAGACTCAGATGCCCTCCCGCACTTCCTCCACCCATGATGGATCTTCCTGAATAGCCCTCCAGCTCCGCCCGCGAGAGGCAGACAGGAATCCAGGATTCTGAGGGAAGCTTTCTCTCCAAATTGCCACTTTACAGACTTCTGGAAAAACAGTTTTTTCAGGATTTTTCATCGGATACGACTTGCCTTCAAGGACACGCAAACTGAAGTCGTTGAGGGAGAGGAAAGCAGGCCTGCGTGTGCGGCTGCCCCTCCCGGGCGGCCCGAGGCGAGGGCTGTGCCCAGTGGTGAGATGTGGGCGGGTCACGGGCCGAGGCCGTGGACAACACGTGTAGTCCGTCCCACGTCCCCTCCTCTCGGTCCGAGGCCCCAGAGTGTCACCCGCGGCTCCCAGCACCCGGAGCTGGTCAGGACGCAGCACCTGCGGCCTTTCTTTGCTGAGATAACTAACGAGGCGGTCACGCCGTCTCTGCTGGGTGGTAGGTGTCTCAGGACGGGAAGGGCCTCACCGTATCCGGTCCAACCCCCTTATTGAAAACAACAACAACAACACGCCCAGATTTGATCCAGGCCGCGCCGTCCACACGGTGACAGCGGTGGAACCAGACCGGGCCGGAGCGGGTAGCCGGGCGTCTCTCGGCTCCTCCGCAGG